TAGTATAATGATTTTTCAGGAAAATCCTTGACTCAAATACATGAATTACATTATTAAAATTCTGAGATTTTCTTAGTCACTACATCTTCCCATGGTCTCTATATATATTTTGGGCCCATTTAGTTCGTTGATTCGAGTTTTTAATTCGAGTTGAGATGTGATTTTATGTGAGAGCTTTTTACTGTAACAAAAAAGTTAGAAGTGATTGTTTCTGAGAACTTTTTATTGATCTTATCATTATATGAGGCTAGAAATTGTAAATTTCAAAACCTAAGGAACTTTAATGGTAAATAGAAATATCTCTAGGAAATTTATGTTTATATATCAAAATCTAACAGTACACAGATAAATCATTAGACAAAATCTGATGCAAATTATACCTACGGAGAAATTTCTCTAAAATGAATGCCTTGAATTGATAAATAAATTATTCTACAAGCAGAAGTCGTTTGCATCATTAATATTACCATTAATTTGAACGAAAATAATGGTACAATTTGTACATGAAAGTCATTGGGTTCAATTAACAAAGAAGGAAGTCACGACCCGTTTAGTTCGCTGATTCGAGTTTACATGTGATTTTATATGAGAATTTTTTATTGTAATAAAAAAATTAGATGTGATTATTTTTTAGAGTCTTTTACTATAACAAAACTCAAATTCTAAATTTGAATAAGTGAAATGAATGAGATTTTAGTTTCTTTTAGGAAAAAATTGCTAAATCAAGGGGATAGGGATTTTACGCGGAAACAAAAATCACTACCTATGAAAAGAGTGTGAATGCAACTGCAAAGAGTTTGAATGATCACTCACACAAAAAACAAAAAAAAATGGTGGCCGTAAAAGTTGAAAAAATAGTTTTCACATGTTCACACTATGTAAGAAAAAAAAAATAAGTAAAAAATAAAAACTTTTGAATTCAGACTTTATCCTTAAAATTAAAAAAAATAAAATAAAATAAGTTCAAACTTTACCCGCAAATTCCCCATCTCATCCTCTTCGAACGGACACAAGAATTAAGAAATATATATATATATATATATATATATATTTCCATTTTTGGCTTCCGTCGCTGTCTAACTAATAATTAGATAGCAAAGAGGCAAATTGTTTTGATCTTACAATGTCTTAATACTTAAAAATAATGTTTATTAAAGAAAAGGAACCCTACATATTTGGTCTGCATATTAATGATTAGTGGTGGAGGTTGCATATATTGCATTCAAGAAATAATAATTTCATAACCTGCCGCCAAAGAACTAACAATTGACATGATAAGAACTTGTATTTGTGCTTACATAATTAGACATAAAGGGAAAAAAAAAAAGAACACCAATTACTGCATATATTGGACATATATAGCTCATTTATGTATAATCCATAAATTAAACAACTAATCAAAAAAAAAAAAACCATTATAATGTGCTTTCATTTTGATATCTTATTTTTGTTGACTTCTTCGTAGTCAAAAACCTAAGTTTGCGTTTCACGTCAATGACATCCGAGGGGTAGAACTAGAAGCTTTCTCAGAAGAAGTCACTGCTGGGGTTTACTTTGACTACGTGTACGGAAAGCTTGGGATTTAAAATATGCCTCATTATATCATTTTTCAGTTAAAAAAAAAAGAAAAAAAAAACCCGATTAAGATCAATTGGACGCGTTTAGAATTTATTCTAAAATAATTTTATATTTTGTATGAAAATGGAAATGAAAACGTTTTCAATTTCAGACATAAATTATTTTTGAAAATGCGTTTAGCAGTTTTATCAAGAGATTGTTTTCAGTATAAAAAAACTTCATTAATGTCTCTCTCTCTCTCTCTGCTCGAGAGATAAGAAAACGAAAATAAAAAATAAAAAACAACTAAAAGTCATTTCTCATTTCTCTCTCATTTTATACTAAACTAAAAAATTGTTTCCATTTCCGTTTTTTATCTTTATTGCGCAAAACGCCGTTTTGAAAACGTTTTCATTTTTTTTATCAAAAAATGTGAAAAATAAAAACGTGATCAACTCTAAACATGGCCATTGTTTTTTATTATATATTTTGTAACTAGTCAATATTTTAACTTCATATTTCTTTCTGGAAAACTCTGTAATACTACGAACATATTGGGACCCGTTTAGTTCGTTGATTCAAGTTTTTAATTCGAGTTGAGATGTGATTTTATGTGAGAGCTTTTTATTGTAGCAAAAAAGTTAAATATGACTGTTTCTGAGAGCTTTTTACTGTCGAACCGGACCTAAATTTTCTAGGCCCATATACATTTCTATTTGGTTTATTAGAAAAGTTTTCATTTAATAATTAAATAGATACAACGCTAATATAATTGTAAATGATCACTAAGTACTCATTATTAGTATTTTTTTTACTTTCTATGACTCACAGGACTGACAAAATATGAACAAATTATTTTCTGGCCGGTAAATAAATTATTACGATTATCATGTTTTATTAGTGAATATATATATATATATATATACTTCAGTCATTTAAAAAATATATAAATAGAGAAATACGATTTAAAAATAGAAAAAATTTCACATTAATATTCTGTAATTTAATATCATCATTTTTTAGTACCCTGTATTTTTTTATAATTTTGAATTAATACTTTGACGTTTTAAGAAATCGTGTTTTAGTACTTTAAGACCTTTATGAAATAATTTTCCCTTAAAATATGCGCAATCGCTAAAAAAATGATTACGTTAAAATATAGGATATTAATATGAAATTTTTCCTTAAAAATATGGATAAAGGTATTACTCTCGTATAGTCATTATTGTTACGTAGCAAGAAACTAACTTGTTGAAGCCCCTTCTAAGAGAAGACCCAAAAAACTAAGTATTGTTTAGTATGGTTAGAACCTGGAACCTTCAGGAAATTGGTATACACAAACAGAGGTGTTATATAAGCACGTTCTGTATATATATATATAGTACCGTGTATTTTAGTATCGTGTATTTTAGTATAATCATTTTTTAAGACCTTGTATTTTTTATAATTTTAAATTAGTACTTTGACGTTTTAAAAAATCACGTTTTAGTGATATAAGGTCTTTATGAAATAATCTTCTCTTAAAATATACGCGATTGTTAAAAATGATTACGCTAAAATACATGATACCAATACGAAATTTTTCCTTAAAAATATAGGTAAAGGTATCACTCTCATATAGTCATTATTCTTCTAAGAGAAGACCCAAAAAACTAAGTATTGTTTAGTATGGTTAGAAGCTGGAACCTTCAGGAAATTGGTATACACAAACAGAGGTGTTATATAAGCATGTTCTGTATATATATATATATATACATCGCCAGCCCTACATATATACGTATGAATGTAGTAGTATGTGGCGACCAAGTTTCACTGCTATGTTTGGACCATAGTCACTGTCACTCGTAAGCTACGGTATTAACTTACACGACAAAGCAAATCCTTGAGTAGCTTTACATGCGCAAACTTTGAATGTGGTACATCTATTTGCAAAATAAATAACCTCTAATTTATTACTTGCAAATTTGCAAACATGAAACAGAATCTTCAGTAGAAAGAAGAGTAAGATTAATGTTTTTTTTTCTCTATTTAAAAAAAAAATAGTAATGTTTTTTTTTCTTAATTATATGCTACTGTTCGTTTTAGTTCTAAGGTTATGAATTAATTTCCAATAGTTGACACAAAACTCTGGCTTGACCAAATATTTCTTAATTATAGTGATCTCCACTTTTTTTTTTTTTTGAAAGGATGTCCACTTGTTTTTGTTTATATTGGAATGTATCCCAATCGAATAATTTACGTTGATATTTTTAGGTTGTTTTTTTTTTTTTTTTTTCATTTAAGGCACTCTTTAATATTTTCCCTTTAGCAATTAGGAATAATTTCCCATGACTAAATGTCTAGAGGACGACTTGAAAAATCAAAAACTTTTTTTTTTCTTAAAGGTCTATTTGGTTCATATACGTTCAAGTCAGTAATTTTGATTTATTAGTGGAAATTTTGTGAGAGAATTATTGATTAAAATTTTTTAAATTTAAACTCTTTGTGAGAAGAAAATACTATAACAAATCGGAATAATGAGATTTGTTAGAGAGACCCTAAATGTAGTGGCTAAATATTGTATCATTTATATACTTCGAGTCTTTGACTGAACGAAGATTTTCTAGTACAATTACATCTGAGTACGTGACAGATTCCTTCTTGAAGAGTTAAGATACGTAACACTGAAATTGTTTAAGGAAGCTTTAACCATTAATTACATATCACTTTATTGAATTAAGAAACTTTAACGTTTTAACTAAGCAAGATTTAAGTAATAATGGGGAAAAAATGCACATCATAACGGAAAATGGAGAGCTCAAGTCTTAATGCATATGTACTATTTCTTAAAAAAAAAAAAAAAAAAAAAGAGAAAGAAAGGAAAAAAAAATTAAGAAATAAAGGGAGTTCTCTTTACGTAGAGGACCCGAATAAACACTCTCTAAAAATAATAAGTTCAGGTGAAAAAAAACTTAGTAATTTTTATGACTAATTATTTTACAATTTTGTTTTTTATATTTTAATAAAATTGAGTGAGAGACTCAATGTGATTTGAAATTGAGTGTCAATCTAATTAGGATGTTTTTAATACCTTCAATGCTAGTCCTTCCTTCTTATTATTTAAGTAAAAAGATGTTTTTTTGCTCGAGAAAAAGGGGATTTGTGGGGTATTTAAGCTCGCAGCTACTTGGCAATCTATAGAGACCATAATTGAAGAAGGAGCTTTGTCCATATCTTGTTACCTAAGTCATATTCAATAGATCGATAAGATGCATAATTTCAATCTCAATGTGCAAAATTGGAATTGATCTTTATATTTTAAGTAAGAGTCTTAATATGTTGTTTTTTTGTTGCGATGCCACCATGGGTGGCAGATAAAAAGGTTAGAAACCTAGGAGAGGGACAAATTTTAGGGACTAGTTCCGGAGAAAAAAGGTGTTTGTGTGTGTCTTTAAACAATAAAATTATTTGCATACATTGAAACAGGAAATTGGAGCGTCCAAATTATATAATAACAGTAGCGTAACACCCCACAAGGCTTTCATTTTCATACACATGATTTTTTTGTCTTTTATTTATTTCCCCCCTATAAGGAGAAAAAAAAAGTAGTTTAGACAGCAATAAGATACGGAATTTTCCCATAATTTATTTCATCTTTTCTTTTATCGAAAAGAAAAAAGAAAAAGAAAAACTACTGACAAAAAATTACAAGCAAAACCCATCTTTTCTTTTTTTTTTTTTTCCCCTCACAAAAGCCCATATGCCCAGTATTCCTGTTCCAAAACCGTTCTTGGGAACGGACTCTGATTGGGAGGAACAATATCAACAATTTGCTTTCGATCATGATCACCATCATCTTCCATAAGCAAATCCCAGCCGTTGAAATACTCCTCGTCCCACAACCCCATTCCACTGCCGTCACCCACACGGTTGTCGCCGTAGTCGCACGACGACGGCCATTCGAAATCCGGAAGCTGCAAATCTTCCAGAAAGTAATTGGGAGAATCCGATGACGAAGAAGACGACAACGACGACGAAGACGACGTCGTCGAAGAAGAAACGACAATCTCGTGAGGCTCAATCAGAGGTACTTCGTCCGTACAGAAGCCGTTATTGACGAGCTGACTTTCCAATATTATTCCGCTCGTCATGCTGTTCTCTACGTCGTCTTTACCTTTCGATTCGGTCGTCAGTACTGAAGAGGACTGATACGACGACGTCGTCGTCGTCGTTGTCGCCGTCGCGATTTCGTTGTTGTTATCGAGTTCAGAGCAATTCTGTTGTTGTTGTGTTGGTGGTGGTGGTTGAGGTTCTGATTGGTCCGTCACGGTGGAAATAATTGGCTTGTGGGTGAGAGGATCAATCCCCATTTTCTTGAGTTTTTTCTTGATGTGGGTGTTCCAGTGGTTCTTTATTTCGTTGTCTGTTCTTCCCGGAAGATGAGACGCAATCTTAGACCATCTGCATTACACAACACAAATAAAATAAAATAAATTAAATACAAAGCAGAAAAGTTCAAGCAAAGTTTTTCGTATTATAATTTTAAAAACAGCAGAGTCATAATAACTAATATTTATTAAGTTTATTTGTTAAAAATGTTATTTTTGGTTTCTGATAATTAATAAAGAATTTATGTGGGGCTTTGTCATATAAATTCATTTGTAATAAACAAATGGTTAGAATTTTCAGAAGAAGGGCTAGGCGAATGATTAAGAAGTCGCAAAGAAAAATGAGCTTCGAAAAGTTTCATGTTTTACAAAAGACATATATATATATATATAGTAAAGCATGAAATTCAGGAATGAAAATATTAATGAATGAAAAAAAAGAAGAAAAACTAAACTCCATTTTGGAGAACAGAGGAAAAGGTGACGAGCTGAGAAAAAGAAACCTGTTGCCAAGTTGAGCGTGGAGATCAATGACCATTTTCTCTTCAGAGTCAGATAAAAGACCCCTTTTCAAGTCAGGCCTTAGATAATTGGTCCATCTCAGCCTGCAACTTTTTCCACACCTTAGCAATCCTGCAAATATATAATATAATGTCACGCCCCATAACCATAATCATTTACTCTGAATGATATAATTCACTTTCCTCTCTCTCTCTTGTCCCTTCCTTTTCTTTTCTTTTATTCTTTTTTAATCTTAAGTTTTTTCTTTTTTTCTTTTTTCATAAACAAAGATGAATGAAAGATGAAAACGTACAAAATCCAACCCAAAAAAAATAAGAAGAAAAGAAAAAAGATCAAGATTAATTTTAAAAATTAACAAGTTTTCTGTATGTGAGAGAGTAATGTAATAGGAAAATAATTAAAGAGAAACGACATAAAACCTGCAAGCTTAGGAACGGCTCTCCAGCAGCATTGGCCGTTGGTGAGGATGAAGTTGATGAGCTTCTTGTCCTCTTCGGCCGTCCATGGCCCTTTCTTCAACCCCACTTTGTCACAACATGGTTGTCTTCCCATAATTATTTCCTTAATTTCTTTCAAGATTAACCCAATTCCCCAACAAAATTAAGAAAACAAAGAAAAAAAAATCCCCACTAGTAATTTATCTTCAAAACAAGTGAGAGAGATAGAAAGAGAGACAAACTTGTTAAGACTCCTCAAGAAGAGATTGTAGTTAGACTAAGGTGGAAAATACCACCACCCCACCTACTTAAATACAAATCCTTTGGACTTCGATCGCCTTCTAAATTTATTTTCTTTTTTTTTATTTTTATTTTTTTTAAAATGCAAATTTTTTTTGTGTTTTTTTTTTTGTTTTTGGCTCACTGTGTACACGTGTTGACTATCAATGGGAGGTCTTTTTCAGAAAGCTCCACCTCATCAACTCTTTTCTTTTTGCTTGAGTTGGAAGCGTAAGATACCCATTACCATTTGTAATTGTATGTATTACACACTTCCATGAGAGTACCCTAGACAAACTATGTTGCAAACAACTCATACCCCAAATTTGAAATTCTCATAAATCCTAATATTTTCTTTTTGTTATTAAAATAAGAAGAAATAATGTTTTTTTTTTTTTTTTTAAAAAGAAGAAGAAATATTGGTATATTTCTATTAATACATTTATAAGTAATAACTAATGGACAGAAACTTGGAGGCATATTTATTTGATGGTTTTCTTCTCTTATGTACTAAGCAAAATATGGTTCAGTTTCTTTTCCTGTACCAAACTGATGTAATTCTTATGAGTAATTAAGATTATGGTTGTCACATCTATTTATAATATATGCTACACTATTTTTACTTTAAAAACGGTATATAGAAAAAAAAAAAAAAGTTACAATAGTAGGAGAATTTTACATAGATTGAAAAACATGTTTCTGCCGTCTTGGTTGGTTCTAAGAGACTTTAACGAAATTCACTTGAAAATGGTTAGGATGAAGGAGATTTTATCCAAATAACATATTGACCTCTTTTTACATTGGAAATTACATTTTTTTTTTCCACTAATTCTCAGGTTTGAAATTTGGACTTTTATTTTTAGGATATCCTCATTAATGGATCTTATTAATCATCATAAGATTCAAAAAAGTAAAAATAAAGAAGAAGAGACGTTTAATCGATAGGACATTTGGTTTATGAATTTATAATTATGATTTAGAATTATTCTCGATTTACTTGTATTTTTATGAGAGAAAATACTGTAACAAGCCATGAACTATGATCCAAATCCTTACTCCAAACGCACATTGCGATTGTGGTTAATAATGCATTCCATCCTAAACGAATCTTTTCTTTTGGACCTTCACAATTCAAATTTCACAATACGAACCTTTTCCATTTGAAAGACTCTAGTGGCCGGGAAAAAAAAAAAAAAAAAAAAAAAAAAACAATGAGGCTCATGGACTGGAATTTGGAAAACACAAATGACTGGACTTAAGGAGATTGTTGAAGTGTACTTGGCCAATGTGTCTACTTCACTCTGCTCCGAGTCCCAAATTTGTCTGTCTTATGATGTGTATACCATCGGGTTACTGCGGCTATGGATGAAATGCTTGAAGCTCCATATTCGGAAGAGGAATTGAAGGAAGCCCCGTTTAGTGTTTAGTACGTGGTTACTAAATCAACATGACAAAATGGTTTTTATGTACTTTTCGTTCAAAAGATTTGGGAGTTCGTTGATAAGGATATTGGTTATGGAGGTGTAAGTTGAATACTCTCCATGGCCATCGTTTGACTACGGGAAGAGGTTCTGTTTGCTATACTTCTCGTTGAGCGAACGGTGTAACCCACATAACTGTTAGTTATGCGTCAGCTATTTCTGTTAGCTATTTTTTTCTTTGCTAATTGGAGGAATAAATGCCTGAATGTATGCCCGAGCTGTAAAGATATGAAGAGGCGAATGACCAGAGACCCTCTAATTACTGCGATGAGGCTAGTCCCTCTATGAGTAGACTAAACTATGAATATAAATGAAGAAATGAACTCCGGGCTCCTTCTTACATGTTAACCTTTTAGTTTATGGATTCAGAACTATAATTTAAAATTATTTTCATTTTACGTGTATTTTTTGTGAGAGAAAAACACTGTAGAGAAACATGAATCATGATTCAGAATCATGGACAAATACATGAAACAAACATAGTGGACGTTTGGTTCATGGATTCAGAATCATGATTCAGAACCATTCTCGTTTTACGTGTGTTTTTTGTGAGAAAAAAATACTGTAAAAAATCATAAATCGTGATTCAGAATCAGAGACAAATACAATAAACAATCAGAGACGAATAATGTTAATACTTTCTATTAAGAAATTATTATTTTTGTTATTAAATTAGCTCAAATTAAGTAATATTTATATTTTTTAAATATTTTGTATAGTTTTAACAAAAAATTTTAAGATTTTCTCAAAAAATATTCATTTTTTAAAAAAATATCTGTCGATATTGACATTTTGGTTGATATTATCAGTAAATCAAGACTACAGACATTTTCATCCTTGATCAATGTCTATCGGTTTGCTTGGGATATTACTCCTCTTTGGCCTTTGTTAAAGTCTTTTACAGGGTTCACTATTACCGGGCTCTGTATGTGGTGAATTTTTTTTTTCTTTTGTACGTGATAGGATAAGGAAAATGAGATAAATAATCTTTTTAAATAGCATCCTTTACTATTTGACCCACAAACATTTATCCTGATTAAATAATTATATTAATTAAAATGATATTAATTAAGAATAAAAAGTAAAAATCTAAATCCTTAAAGTTAAGTTCAGTAATTTTCTCAGTAGGAGTTTAGGGTGCGTTTGATAGATAGATCCAAAATCATGATTCTGAATCCTGATTCAGAATCAGTATTTGGTTTAGATGATTTTGAATCATGATTTAGAATTTAATGTGATGTTTTAAACTAGCTCAAATCATGATTTTAAAACCACACCCCTCTTGATTTAAGGTGATTTAAACCCCTGATTCGGAATCATAGTTTCATAATTATAATTTAAACTCAAAATCATGAATCATAATTCTGGTTTCAGAATCATAATTAGAATCATCTTGATTTGAATCATCGTACCAAAAGAACCCAATGATTTTAAACAAGCTGAGGATGTTGAAGTCTATTGTATTGTGGCTCAGAGTCTATATGTGAGAGGAGTAAAGGCTAATAGCTATAACACACACACTCTTGTCCTCTCTTACTAATTCTTGGCAAGGGTCCCATTTGTGAAGTTTATTTGTTACTTGCTGTTGAAGCAATCCCTGTGATTAGTTATGATTCTGTGCTTTCTAGTTTAATCAACTGATTAATGAATTGAAGTTCTTTCTTTCTTTCAAAAAGAAAAAAAGAAATTAATACCTCAAAGGATGAGAAATTTTGTGAACAAATTCAATATGCGTTATTCATTACAAATACTATACCAAAACCAGAAGGCATGAACGAAAAGAAAAAGGTGCATTTGATGCTCAAATTTGTGCGAATAATAGTTAAATCAAAGAGTATCTGTATGAATATCAACTATCATAATGCTTAAAATCCCTTCTATTTGTACTAAGCAATATTTGTAAATGCTATTAAAATATAGAGATAATATTACTGTTCTAATTCCAGCCCCACTTAATTCACATTTGTACTTAGTCATGCTAGCTTTTTCGTTGGGGAGAGACAAACTTGTGTCTTTAGCAAGGAAAATTGTCCAAGTTTTACTCTAACAAAAGAAGAAAATACAAAGAAGATGAAAGTCCGAAAAGATAGAAAACCAATCAAATTCAACATAAACCAAAACCAAAGCCATATATGGTTCTTAATGATCTCTCTCTGAAATATTATCAATGCCACAGTGCCTGTCGGCAAAACTGAAGAGGTGGGCAAATATTATTATATTATATATCTATAATTAATAATGTATTCATCTATTTTTTTTCTTTCTTTTTGAGGTTCATCTAATTAGTGAAAATTTTGAGTTTAATCATTTTTTTTCAACTTTATTATTTATTTCATTACACAAAATGTTGATGTCATTACAAAAACTAACTTACATGTTATAAAAGGTAAAATCTATAAGTTACGAAAAGTTAACTTACAGGTTATGCATGTTATAAAAGATGATAACCTACCGTTTATAAAAAGATAACTTTAAGATTATTAATGACATAAAATAAAATTTAAAACAATGGCATAAATAAAATAGTATTATATGAGAATTTCCCATCATTCATTGGCGTTACTGCCAAAAAAGATATAATAATTGTTTTCATATTCTTGAAGCGTTATTGTTAAAGTTTTAAGAGAACACATATTATTATAAAAGTTCAAAGATAAAAATGATTAAAGATATCACTTATAATGCAACTCTCCGCATCCAAAGAAATAATTTTATTCAAATATATAATGATGTTTTTTTAATACTTGATTCTGGGAGACCAACATTTGAACTTTGCCGGATTCCCTTCATACTCCAATATTTTTTTCTCTAGTTTTAATTTCCTAATTGATTTTTCATTGTGCTAACTTGCAGACAGGCCTCCTTTGCTGGTCTTTGTTTACATCTTAATTTGATCTTGAAACTAAAAGATTTAGGGGTTGTCCTTTTGTAACGAAACTCAGAAAAAATTTGAACTCAAGTTACAATTTTATTTAAGTTTATGTTCTTTTATAAAATTTGAGTTTGAATTCGAGTTTAAACTCGAGTTCAAGTTTCATCTTCAACTCGAGTTTATAAACTCGAACTCAAGTTAATGAACAATATTTTTTCTATTTTTAAAAATGTCATAACTTTTTCATTTTAATTCTGATTGAGATGATTTTTTTCTATGCATTCACAACGAAAAAATGAATAAAACCACACCCATATACCGTATTAAAATTTTTCATCACCATTGAGTTTTTATTAAAATACTATCTAAATACAAATTTAAGTTTTGACCTAGACAAACACAAACTCAAAAAAATTCTCAATTCAAATCATAACTTAAATGTGCACGTCTAAACACAAACTCAAGTTACAACTTCAACTTAAATTATAACTCAAACTCAATTCAAGATCATCACTCAAATCACCCTAACTCAAAATTAGTAAAGAACAATTGGCTTGGTTCTTGTGGAAGGATAGGGACAATCTGGTTCACATTAACAAGTCCAAGTCGACAGATATTCTATTTGAAGATGCAAATCTCTTTCTTTCCGAGTTCCAACGGTGTCAAGTTATCAATTCGACGCAGGCTTCCGCAACGACCGCTCCCTCACCTTCAAGCTTCTAACTCTAGCAAGCTGCTACCACCATTCCAGACTCCAGAGCTACGCCAGCTGAAGGAAAACGAATTACATTTCCTGGGATTGGGATTTTTTTTTTTTTTTTTTTTTTTTTTTTGCATATTCTAAAACTGGACTTCTTGGGCTTTTGGGTTACTCATCGTAAAGGAGTGGGTTTTTGGGCTACCAGTAAGCAACTGAGATTTTGGGCTACTTGAGGTAAGCAAGTAGTGTTTGGGCTACTAAAGGAAAGCAATTGGTTTTTTTTTTAGGTAGAAAATTTCAAGTTTTTATATATTTTTTTTAAATATATTATTTGTCATTATATAAAATATTGATGCCATTAAAAAAAATCATGTGCAGGTTACCTTTTGTAATTTACAGGTTACGAAAAGATAACCTGTAGGTTACGAAGAGATAAATTTTAAAACAATGAAAGAAAATAGTGTTATCTTTTTTATTGGCTTTACAAAAAATTTTCTAAAATTAATTTGAAACTTTCATGTGGACAAAGCCTAATTTAGACAAAGGATGAGCAAGCCCATTTACGCTGGGTTTGGTAGGAAGAAAAGTAGAAGGAAGGAAGAAGGTGGAGGGATTTAAGAAGAGAAACTAGAAAAATATGTTGCTTGGTAAGAGAGAAAAGAGAATGGAAGAGAAATTAAAAGCAAAAATAGTACAAGTGAGTCCCACCATGTTTTCTCCTTCCATAAGTGGAGATAGAGATGTCAAACGTGTCGTGCCGGGCCGGCACGACACGTCTGACCCCAAGCCCGTGGCAGGCCTAGGCCGTGCCTGACACGACCCTGTACAGTGTAGAGCCGTGCCAGGGTTGGGCTTGATGAGAAAATCTCAGGCCCGCGGCCCTAGTCCATAAGGGCCTGGGCTCAGGCCCTTCACGGGCCGGTCCTAGCCCTTGTAATTTTTTTCTAAAATTTAATTAAAAAAAATATCATATGCCCTGAAAAGATGTGATTTTATTGAATTGAGATAATACGAATAAGTACACATAAATGACTGCCTCATTAAAAACCTTGTCAAGTAAAACTCATGGGGAGATCGGGACAAAACCTTAGCGAAGGAAAAAAAAGTGCAGTATTCCAGGAATAGTAAATTACAAAAGCTAAGTGCTTCTAGAAGATTCTGTTATTTCTAAGTTAGAAAAATAGTCTTGCATTGAATCATCTGTGTATTGTTATTTTCATTTTCTAGCATATTCCCAGTCTTTAACGCACATTAGCCCCTCTTTTGCTTCTCTTCTTGTTAAGAATTCAGAATTTAGGGTTTCTTTTAGGTTTTTTAGGATTTTTAGGGTTTTTAAGTTTTTTTAGGGTTTTGCTTGCTCTGATGCTACCGTTGACACTGGAGTTGTCAGAATGTCAGGAGCTATTACAGACAGTGTTAGAAAATGATCGGTCTTGCTCTTCCACCACTGTATGATGTCTAGTTTATCGTCATCGATTACAAAATTTACTTCAAAATATTTTACCAGTTTGGTAGACGCTTGTGTTGATGATGATCCTGCCGTTTTCTCTTTCTTTTTCAAGAAACTCCATGACGATCCTTTAGGCCTCGAACTGCTAGTTGACGTCGAAGTTCCCTGTTCTTTTTGACCTGTGATGTATTTTGCTTCATACAAACCAAATACATTTCTAACATTTTCCTAGCATTAGTAATAGTTAGTTACATATCAATATCTAAATTTTCTATATAGTAGTTATCAAAGATTCAATCCCATCTACTTCGCACTTAGGATCTAAAATGGTTGCTAATGCATATAACATAAGACAACCTGACCAATAACTTTTAAATTTAGTTTCCATTAGCTTAATTATGTCTCCAAAAAGCACTGTATCCCTATAATAAGAAAATGTTTATGAAATATTAAATAATTGATATAAAGCTAAATGTGCAGTAGGATAATAAACTCCGGAAAGTAAGTCAGCAGCATTGTAAAAATCTTCTAGAAATTTTAAAAAATACTCACCAATCTGACAATCTGTATCGAATATTAAAAGTTAATCGTTCTTACTGTTTACATACGTTGTGATGAGCTGTGAATACGGGAGTGCAGCCTTCAACATTAAATAGGTGAAATTCCACCTATGCCTCACGTCAGTTGGGAACTTTCTTGGGCGCATATGACTGTTCATACAATATTGTTTGAATTCTTGGAGCTGAGCTTCAAAACTAGATATGAAGGATAAAGATTCTCTAATATTTGTTAGATTAGCTTAAATATGTTCAAAACCTGCCTGAACTATTAAATTGATTATGTGACATGTATACCGTTGATGAAAAATTTCCCCTCAAACACTGGTTTCAAACTAAGTTTAAACATGTTAATTGCAGCTGTGTTAGTTGACACATTATCAAAAGTAATAGTTAAAACTTTATCTTCTATCCCATAAAACCTAAAAATTTCCATTATTATACCAAAAATAGCTGATGCGTTATAAGGATATGGACATAAACAAAAACCTATTATTCTTTTTTGTAAAACTCATTCATAATTAACATAATGCGCCATGATGCATAAAAATTCAGTTTTATGGCACCCATCCCATAGATTAGAAGTACAAGATACAGTAGCATTAAAAGTCCTAAAATTATTAACAAGAGATTATCTTATTGCATAAAACACTTTCATGCGATCATAACGAATTGTGTTTCTACTTACCCGTTTAAATTGTGGGCAGAAGGCCGTCTATATAAATTCTTTGAACGACGCATCATCTATAAAATAAATAGGTAATCCAGCACTAGCTAGAAATTTAGCAAGTACCTCATGAGCACATTATGCATCGTATGTAAAATTTTACAACCCTTGTGATGTGAGTGATAGTGTTTATTGGCGGGAGTCTACACTCCCACCTTGGTGCAACGGTAGACATACTTTCCAATGTCTATCCAGATGACTAGTACTCTTACCATTTTTATTAGAAAAGTATTTTTTACAATACTTACATACCGCACGAATTTCCATTTCATCCGTTTTTGGATTTGGTCGGGGCTCCTCTGTGAAATGCTGCCATGCAGGAAAAGTTCGCGGTCTTTTTCTCCTGGTGCATTCTCCAACTTCCTTGTTGTGCACTGAAGCATTATCAACCAGAGCATTTTCTGATTCAGTGGGGGGTAGGGTTGGGAGGCATCATTTCATTCTCGAAAAATGGCTCATCACCAAGCTCAGGAAGAGTAGTGAAATCAAGGAAGTTTGATGCATCCATTTTCTGAAAATTGATTGAACTTAAACTTTGTAAATAAAATAGCAAGAAAATAAGTGATCACGAGAAAAAAAGCTTAGATTCAAAATCAAAGAGACAAGATAAGAGATAGAATGAGAGTTAGATATGAAGTTGAGAGTAAATTTTTGTGTGGAATTTGGGGTGGAATTAAGGGGTATTTGTAGGGGATTTTTGGGGTTTTTTCAGATTGTGATCGTTGGGCCTTGGGGGGGTGTTTTCACAGGCCGTTTCTCGGGCCTGGGCCAGGCCGAACAAGGGCCGAATTCGGGCTTGGGCTGAACTGGGCTTGGGCCAGGCCGCAGGCCTTCACGGGCTAGGGTCGGGCCGCAGGCTTTCACGGGCTAGGGCCGTGCCGTGGGTTGAGAAGCTAAGGCCCAGCCCTAGCCCATCAAACGTGTCGGGCTAGCACGGCCCGTAACAGTACCGTACCAGGCCGTGCCGAATCCGACACTGTTACGGGCTGGACCGGGTCGTCCATGGACGGCCCGGCCTGTTTGACACCACTAAGTGGAAAGACTTTATGAGGAAAAAATTATCACACTTAGAACAAGATGAATTTACTTTTTTTACCTCATTTGTAATTTAATAATATTATTTTGAATAGGCAAAGTAGTAAATATACATTAACTCATTTTTTTCCTCCTTCATACCCTAATCATATTTGAGGGTTTCTCTTCTTGGCCTCATTTTTGATCTGCCATGTGGCAAAAAAAAAAAAAACTGTATGTTTATGGATCACTGGCACATGTCGATCCACTTCAAAATATCATGGCACTTTCAGTAATTATTCCTACATTTATTTTTGGTTCAATTCAATTTTAAAAGTGGAAGAAATTAATTGTGCATTTAATTAGTGTATTCGTATCATGATTTGAATCATGGTTCATGATTTATTATAGTATTTTCTCTTACACTGTGTTTGGTAGGAAAGAAAAGTAAAAGAAAGGAAGAAGGTGAAGGGATTTGGAAAGAGAAACTAGAAATGCATATTGTTTGGTAAGAGAACAAAGAAAATAAAAGAGAAATTAGAAGCGAAAATATTATAAGTGAGACCCACCATGTTTTCTCTTTCCATAAGTAGAGAGACTTTACGAGGAAAAAATTTCACACTTAGAACAAGATGAAGTTACTTTTTTGACCTCATTTGTAATTTAATAATATTATTTTGAATAGGCAAAGTAGTAAATATACATTAACTCATTTTTTTCCTCCTTCGTACCCTAATCATATTTGAGGATTTCTCTTCTTGGCCTCATTTTTTATCTGCAATGTGGCAAAAAAAAAAAAAAAAAAAGAAACTGTATGTTTATGGACCACTGGCACATGTCGTCAAAATATCATGACACTTTCAGTAATTATTCGTACATTTAACTTTGGTTCAATTCAATTTTAAAAGTGGAAGAATTTAAAAATTTTTATATGGATCGTAAATTGGGATAAATTTCCGTAATTGATCTAAAAAGCTTTTAAATGGCTGAAAAAACTGATAATCTCCCACTGAATAAGATTAGAGGATATGATATGAGGTAAACTGCAAAGTGTTCCCGAAGCAAAAAAGTTGATTAAATAAAAATAAAAATAAAAATAAAAATAAAAATAAAAAACCCCTAAACCCCAACAACAACCTTGGCACATTAGTAAATTCTTCCTCGGTCTTTTTCCTTAACAATAAAAACTTCTCTTTGTTGATCACCAATTTTTTTCCGAAGCTTCTTCTGAGTCAGTCATGGCCGATTTCCAGACATCGACTCACCGAGCTAAGTGGATCTTCACTCCTCAAGAGCTGGTAATTTTCTTTCCCCTATTTTGTCTCCTCTTCTCAAGCTTTCTCTTCAGTTGTTTTCAGCTTTCGTATTCGCTTTCCTTCGATTTCTGGGCTCTCTTTGATTGATTGTTGATGAAAATGAAGAAACGCAAGTTTCGAGCTTCATCATTTCCTTAAGAATCAAAAGACAGGCTTATTTGAATGTAAATTTAATTGTTGCTTTTGCTTTAGGTTGATAAATACAAAGCTGCTCAGCAGAGAGCAATACAAACTTTGGAGAAGGTAAGATTAGTTTTACCAAGATATAGGCACTTGTAGATTTCCTTCTCTCTCTCTCTCTCTCTCTCTCTTCCTTATACCTCGAATAATAATATTTGTTGTTGGAGTGTGTTGTTATTTATTGATTCTAACTGGGAAGATTGTGTGAAGTATGGAGCAACACTAATGGAAGTAGATGCTGACGGGACATTGTCTTACCCTGAGCTTCAAGCTAATGCGAAAGAAAATGGTAAAATTCTGTTCTGTGTGTATGAACTTCGATGGGCCGTTGTCGTTCTTTCTGACTATTTTCCCTTATAATTGTTCATTTCAGCTGACAAGCATTCGCGTTCGAAACCTCTTAACCTTGAAGAAGAGCAATTTATTCGCGTTTTTTATGAGAATAAACTGCAAGAAGTGTGTAACAACTTTCATTTTCCTCATAAGATTCAGGTACGTGGTTTAACAAATGTGGAGGAGTCAAACATGGAATTATTGGCTTAACTATCCCATCTTTAAAAGTTTGGTTCTTGTTTTTGCAGGCGACAGCTCTCATATATTTCAAAAGATTTTTTTTGCAATGGTCTGTAATGCAACATCATCCAAAAAACATCATGTATGATTGAATCTGATATTTGTTTTTATTTTATTTATTTTATTTTTTTTAATCTGTGCCATTTCTCAAGTATACGTTATCTACGTTGAAAATTTTGAATTAACAATGCATCAAAGAATGATAGAAATCTATAGATTTATTTTTAAATGTGTTTTAAAAATGGTTGAAATGTTAAATTCAACATTTTCTTTTTGTGATAAATGATGAAGATTATTACTTCCCATCCCTCTTCTTGAAGAGGAATGTGCGTTTAGGTATGTCAGGTTTCCTCATTTTTAATTTGATATACAGTAATAATGTATTTGCCTATGCAGTTTTTTTATTATTCAAAGTTATATTTGAACAGATACTTTTTTCTTTCATGTAATTTTTGCTCAGCTTATTCCAATAACTGACTTCTGCACAGGTTAACCTGCATTTATGCAGCTTGTAAGATAGAAGAAAATCATGTATCAGCGGAGGAGCTTGGTAAGGGGATCTCACAGGACCATCAAATGATACTCAATAATGAGATGATAGTTTATCAGGCATGGATGTGCCTCACAAGTCATATTTCCTCCCTTGTTTATTTTTTGGCCTTCATTTGTTGAAGACAAGAACCTTTGTTTTGCAGAGTTTGGAATTTGATCTTATTGTTTATGCACCATATCGCTCAGTTGAAGGCTTCATTGATGATATGGAGGTGAGTTTGATATGACTTTTCTTTTCATTACGTGCAAGGAACATGTGTTTTTTTTTTTTTTTTTTTAAATCTCCTTTTAGTTACAGGTGTACAATCAATTCATTTGGTCTTGGTATAATATTGAAATTTTCTTTCTCTTTATTTAGCAATGTAATTGATGTCACTTAGTGTTGGTTTGCGTAGGAATTTTGTGGATCAAAGGATGATCAGCTTCAAGCGTTGAAAGTAAGTGCTGGTGTTGGTTCTAATTGTATGATTACGTTACTGCTTTCTGTTCCATGTTGTGTCAGTTGTGTTCAAATTAATCCTTGAAAATCTTTTCGTAATTGCTATATCATGTTAATTTCTCCTTTCAATAGCTAGGTGTCTGGTGACACTGTTTTGCTTCTAAGTTGTTAACCATGTAAACTTTTTTTGGTAATGGTCAGAATTGTATTGAATCTTGTTAAAGTTTCTTATGAGGTTCATCTAGAATTTTCTCAATAGGCTGATCGTCTTTGTTGTGATGTTTTAGAATTTACATGAAACTGCGAGAATGGAAGTTGACAAAATTATGCTTACTGATGCACCACTTCTATTCCCTCCCGGTCAGGTATGCTATGGTCTTTAAACTTAATTTAGCATTACATTATCTCCTATATAATGAGAACGAGAGTAACAGAATTTTCACTTTGTACAAGTCTGTAAACATCTAATCTATAAAAAATAGTTTCGGAAGGTTCAATGTGAATTTGGTTAAATTACCACAATAATTTAGTCCTTTCGGCATTAGATAAGGTAGATTAGCTGAAGCAGGTTACATAAATTGTCATTTCTTGGTTAAAATTAATAGTGGTTTTTACTAAGTAGCGAGGGTGAATGATCCAAAATAAAGGAAAGAGAAAGCAAAACGTACAACCCTTGATGCATAGTGAGCCTGACCATGTAAAGATAACATCTTTTTGAAGCCTTATAAATATGTCCACTCATTTAAAATCTATTGTCATTAACTGCCCATTTTGATTTGATGCAGCTGGCATTGGCTGCTTTGCGTAGTTCAAACGAGGTGCACAGAGTTATCGACTTTGAAAGGTTTTGAACCACTTTAGAGTTTCCTTCTTCACATTTTCCTGTGATCACAGAACTCCAGATTAAACAGAAGATACGACTTCGAGAATGGAGAAGGGAGAGTAAAACTAACCTGTTTCGGATGATTATTAAAGGTTGTTCTTCATGCTGATTTGCAGATATCTAAAGAGAATTCTCACTCGTCAGAACTCTGCGCATACCATGTCAGAGCTTATTGAATCTCTAAATGCAATAGACTCCTGGGTATAAATTATCTTCATCACAATCTACTTACAATTTGATGCGAACTCTGATGATAAAACTCAAGGCTGAAGCCTGTGTAGGCTGTTTGGCATAACTAAATGCGTTCTTTTCACAACTCGAGTCACAACTCGAACTTTTTTATGTGAGAGAAAATACTGTAGCAAAGAAGTTGAATTTAAATTTTTGCAAGAGAAAACACTGTATCAAAAGAAGAGTTATGTTTTGAGTTGTGAAAAGAACAATCTTTAAATCATTTTTCACTCTACAATTGGATATCTGATGGAAAGGTCCATATGCTTCTAGTTGCATTATCCAATCAGTCTTCTTTGTTTTCTGTATATATAGGTGAAGAGATATAAGTTCCCCTCAGAAAAGGATTTGAAACACATCAACAGGAAGCTGAAGTCTTGTTGGGGTCTCAGCTCGCATGACGAGTACTTTCTAAGCTCTTTGCACATTTTGAAAACAACCATTTTTAGTCTACTTTACTTTCCTTTCCCCACCAATTCCAATGATATGTTTTTCTTTTAGGAGCAAGAAACGGGAGAAGAAATCAAAGCACAAGTCGAGGAAGAGTTCAAATGAGCAGACTTTGCCTTCTCTAAACGAATAGTATGTTCTCATATCTTGTGTATTTTCAGTTCTCAACTGTCTGGTATACTTCTCTTTTAATATCAGAGGCCCATTTAGTAGGGCTTTTGCTTTTAATTAGTAGAAGAAAGAGAATTAAAAGCTATAGATTTTCAGTAAGTGTTTGAACCATATTTTAAAAGAGCTTAAATGGGTCAAAATGATTTTTGCATTTTCCAATGAGCAATAAATTTGTTAGAATGAAGCTTATAAAGCTTATAATGTTTTATTGAAACTCTGGTGCAAGTTTTAAAGTCTAATCAGGAGAGCTTTTTTGAAAAGTCGTATTTTGTGGTTTTGACTAGAAATTCTTTTGTAAAGCCAAAGCTTTTCTAACAAATCATCCAAACATGTCCAAAAGCAGTTTTTAATCCGAGAAACCAAAAGCAGCTTCGATGAAACTTTGCCAAACAGGCCCATTTATGTCTAACATAGAGTCGGCTGTTTCGAATTTATGTGTAAACACGTCTCTGTAAATAATGGTCTTTGTGGATTGACTGACATTTTAAACCTGATTACAGGTAAACCCTCACTTGGTCTCTCTTAGAAGTTGTGTTCTTCCTCGGGGAAAATATTTTCAAGGAGTTTGTATTCTGTTATAAAAAAAGAAAGTTGAGTTTCTTCTTCATTTTCAATTTTTGCATTGTGAGGAATTTTGCCAAGTTTTGAGACAATGTTGTTGGCCAAACCTTATCAATATCTTGAATTTTCTGATGATATTTATTCCCTGTTCCTTTAAGCTCCCATGTTTTGAACACAATCTCAGCATATCCAAGCATGTCAAAATGTAAACCATGTTTTCGACGTTAGCTTGTTGCCCCTGTTTGGTTCAACAATTTGAATCAAACAATTCGATTGGATTTGTTGAACCAAACATGGCCGTAGGAATTGAGAAGTAGGTAAAACTGCTTTAATTATGTTTTCAGCAAAATTGTAGAATTCAACATCTAGATAGTGAGGCATTGGTTACTCCCAAAAAAAAAATTATTTTTTTTTTGTTTTGTTTTGCCCTCCACAAGAAATAAATTTTTTAGCTTTTATTGACAAATTTCACTTCAATTATTACAATTTCGCCCACTTGAGCCAAATTGTAAATACAGACTGTTATATTATTTTGTAAAGAAGGAAAGCAAGCATTTCTTTTGGCTCTTAACTCGAAAGAAAAAGAAAACTCTTTTTGTCTTACAAAGAGCCGGGTATCACATGACGAGAGTCACGTCTACTTTTGTGTTTAATAGAATAAATTTCCATCAAGACAAATAAGACTGTTCGAACACTTTTGTGTTTAATGAGAATAAATTTCCATCGAGACAAATAAGACTGTTCAACGAAAAATATCTTTTTATTCTTCCAATTAATAGAAATAGAAGTTTATAGTTTTGTTCATTCAAAAACAAAAAAAGTTCATAGTTTTGTTTTTGTGAAAAAATCATTATTTTTAGTCACCTCTGTTATTTTATTTTATTTTTTATGATTTTTATTTGACTCTTGAAGATATTATGGGAACGATGTCGTATACACTACCACCATTGGTCTTGACACTGTTTCAATCATTGCCCCAACTTAGCTTTAACTAATGACCGAAACTTGAAATTTAAAATTTTATTGTAAATTTTTTTAAAAATAAGAGGGCTGTTCAGTTCGCTGATTCGAGTTAAGATGTGATTTTATGTGAGAATTTTTTTACTGTAGTAAAAAAATTAGATGCGATTGTTTCTGAGAGTTTTTTACTGTAGTAAAACTCGAATCGGCGAAATAGATAGGATAAAAATCTGTAAAGAAAAAAAAAAACAAAAAAATTCAGGATACACATGGTTAGCAAAAAAGCTAGGGATACGCATGTCTTCAAAAATCATTTTCACTTTTTTGCCTAAAGAAACAAAAGATTGTTCTAAGAAAGTGATATCAAACATATCTTTAAAGTAACTAAAAAAAAAAAGATTATCAAACGAATTTTCTGAAAAAAAAAACGACTGTTTTCGTTAAAAAAATATTTAACAAAATGATACATGCTATGCGTAAATGCGATACTTTGGACTGTAGGAACTAAATAATTTGAGGATGTATGGCATAATATTGAATAGACATGTTGGAAATATAGCAAAAATTTAAAAATATATTATAAAAACAAACATTAGACTTTATAATAATTATTTTGTAATTTTGTGGCATAAAACGGGAAAATAATTATAAAATTAATACATAATTTCACTATTATAATGATTAATACATAATTTCACTATTTCTGAACTATTTTAAAGATTTCTTTATTTTAAATTCTATTTTTTGTGTTTTTCATACATATTGTTTACAAAAATAATAATAATAATAAAGATATATGTTCGTTTAATATGAGTAACCCTAGTAAATAACTCTCAGGAAAAAAACAAAAACAAAACAAAAAAAAACAAAAACAAAACCAAACAAAACCAGTCACCATTCCCATTTCCCACCCGTCTCTCTCTCTCCCTCTCTCTCTCTCTCTAAAATCAAGCAATCGCTTTCTCTCTCTCTCTCTAAAATCAAGCAATCGCTTTCTCTCAGCCTCTCAGGCAAGGTAAGTTCCCAAATAAGCAACCAAAATTGCTCCTCTTGTAAGCTGGAACCTCTTTCCAATTTGTATACCCTCTATTTTTCTTTGTTTTTCAGCATTATAATTATAATTTATTATTGTTATGTCTTCATCGTTTGCTTTTAGATTTTATGCGCAATGGCAAGAGGCCCTGCTTCGTCTCTGTTTCGAGTTTATGCTTACAAGAAAAACTCTTCTAGGATTAGGGTTTTGCTCTGCAACCAACAATATATCACTACTAGTAGCACTAGTTTTGGACAATATCACCACCGTGGGGCATCCCAAAATCCTTTTCTCAGTTCCTCTTTTCATGTCCCAAACCGACCCTTTTCAACCAACTTGATAACCCTAGCTTGCCTTGGATTGATTTCACAGAGAAAAAACGTTCTGGGTAGTGATTATTTTCATGTTAAACCATTTTCTTCGGTTGCGGAAGATGGGGACGGGGATGTGAATGATAATAGTGAAGGTGGTAGGACTGATTTGGTTGATTTAGGATGTGAATTTGATGCGGATTCTGGGAAAAGTATTGATTTTGATAATGAAAACGAGGTCACTTCTTGCCATGAGGAAGAGGATGGTGTTTATGAGGATTTTGATTCGGCAATGGCTGAATTGGATAATGACAGTGTGGACGGTGAGGGTGCTGCAAATGGCGAGGGTTATGTTCATGTTGCGTGTCGCAATCCTTTGGAATTGTATCGCGAGCTTCGCGACACTGAAAATGGTGTGAAACTGAGGCGGTCTGATTGGGTGACTCTCACTGAAACGTTTGGTGTTTTGAGCCGGTCGGGTTGGGCATCTGACCAGGCTCTTGCAATTTACATTGGCAAAGCGTTTTTCCCTACTGCTGTGCAAAAGTTCAAGAAGTTTTTCTTTAAGAAATGTTCAGCTGATGTTGCCAAGTACTTGGTGACTCTCGGCCCAGCTGATGCTGCGGTTAAGTTCCTGTTCCCAATATTTGTCGAATATTGTTTAGAGGAATTTCCTAATGAGATCAAGCAGTTCCAGGGTATGGTTGAGTCGGCGGATCTCACTAAGCCCCACACATGGTTTCCCTTTGCGCGAGCTATGAAACGTAAGATAATATATCACTGTGGTCCGACCAACAGTGGTAAGACTTATAATGCCTTGCAACGGTTTATGGAGGCAAAGAAAGGTTTATATTGCAGCCCTCTCAGGTTGTTGGCTATGGAAGTTTTTGACAAGGTGAATGCACTTGGTGTGTATTGTAGTCTTCAGACTGGTCAAGAAAAGAAGTACATCCCCTTTTCGAACCATACTTCTTGCACTGTGGAAATGGTGTCGACGGATGAACTGTATGACGTTGCTGTTATTGATGAAATTCAGATGATGGCCGATCCAAGTCGAGGTTATGCGTGGACACGGGCATTGCTTGGGCTAAAGGCTGATGAGATACATTTGTGTGGAGATCCTAGTGTTCTAAACATTGTTCGAAAGATCTGTTCAGACACAGGGGATGAGTTGTATGAGCAGCATTATGAGAGATTTAAACCGTTGGTTGTTGAAGCAAAGACACTCCTGGGAGATCTTAGAAACGTGCGGTCTGGAGATTGCGTGGTTGCATTTTCTAGGAGAGAGATATTTGAGGTTAAAATGGCAATTGAGAGATATACCAACCACCGTTGCTGTGTAATATATGGTGCGCTGCCCCCAGAAACTCGCAGGCAGCAAGCGAATTTGTTCAACGACCAGGATAATGAATTTGATGTGCTTGTTGCTAGTGATGCAGTGGGAATGGGTCTGAATCTTAACATCAGAAGGGTTGTATTTTATAGCGTCTCAAAGTACAACGGTGATAAGGTTGTTCCAGTTTCAGCATCACAGGTGAAGCAGATTGCTGGACGAGCTGGTCGGAGGGGAAGCATCTATCCAGACGGACTCACAACCACGTTACATTTAAACGATCTGGATTACTTGATTGAGTGTTTGAAGCAACCTTTTGATGACGTTAAGAAAGTTGGTCTCTTTCCTTTCTTTGAGCAGGTTGAGATGTTTGCAAGTAAACTCCAAGATGTTTCATTATCCCAGCTGCTCGAAAAATTTGGCCAGAATTGCCGGCTGGATGGATCATATTTCTTATGCCGACACGATCATATTAAAAAGGTTGCAAACATGTTGGAGAAGGTCCAGGAACTATCTCTAGAGGATCGGTTTAACTTCTGTTTTGCCCCTGTTAACATCAGAGACCCAAAGGCTATGTACCATCTCGTGAGGTTTGCCTCAGCATACAGTCAGAAAGTTCCTGTCAATATCTATATGGGCATGCCAAAGGCTTCTGCTAGCAATGACGCAGAGCTCTTGGATCTTGAGTCTAAGCATCAAGTTGTGTCCATGTATCTATGGTTGTCACAACACTTCGAGAGAGAGAATTTTCCATATGTGCAGAAGGCTGAGACAATGGCAACAGATATCGCTGGCTTGTTGGCGGAGTCTCTTGTTAAAGCTAATTGGAAACCCGAGTCAAGAAAGACGGGGAAACCAATGCCCCAACAGAAGGCAGATGTCTATGACAGGCCAAGATCACTCATCAAACTAAAAGAGAAGTAAGTTCTTCTGAATAGTTTAACTCGATGCGTGGTTCACTTATGTTTAGTAGATGGATTCGTTCCCTGATTCGAATCATGATTCGTGGTTCGCTACAGTATTTTCTCTCACAAAAAATACACGTAAATCGAAAATGGTTCTAATCACATGGTTCTAATCTATGAACCAAACGCATTAGTGTTCGATTTATTTACTAGTTCCATGTTCTGCTGACCCTTTAGCTACATGGTCTTCCTTTGCGGCTCCTGACAAGTTGTTTTGGTTGGACAAGCATAATGTCCACCGCATATATTTTTAAGCATATTACTAACGTTGCTGATTTTCTCATAACTTGTAGCTTATTATGACTGAAATTCTGGTCTCCCATGACGTCTATTATCTGTTGACCTATTTTGTTTCTCTAATGCTCATATCTGTGCCTGTAACTTCTTTCGTCATATTTAGTTTCAGGTTCTTTCCTCAAGTTTATGAACCTTGTGAGTTGTGATTAGGGTCATACTTGTGATTTTTGATACGTAACGGTATATATTATTAGGTAGAAAGATTTCCAAAATAGATGAATAATCTTATAGCATTGTTTATACTCGTTCGCTGTTAACTCCTTTATATGTTAATGTAGATACTGGTCTTTCCCTTATTTATTAATTGTTAGATTTAAGATGCAGGATGCTAATAAAGTTATCGGTAATGCAGGGCAAGGATCACTCAACACAAACATTCAGAGAAAACAGCTACTTACTGATGTGGGCGGTAGGTAATTTACGATATGTGAATTCAATTTGTTATCTTATTCGTGGCTTCATAGTGTTTTTTTTCATATAAAACTGATTGATGGGTCTTTTTTGGTCAAAATTGTTGCTATAAATAATGGTTTGAGAATAAATTGTGGTTTTTGGTGGCGCAAATCTTCAATTAGCCTGCCAAATTTTTCTGGAACTTGCTAAAGCAGATCTAATTCATCATGATTTTTCTTCTGCCTTTTAGGAAAAGTGAATAGTTTGAGGAAAAGTGAGTGTTTTGTTGGAGGGTGGCAAATATTGAACCCGTCAGCAATCAATGAAGGGGGATCATGTGGAGAAGGCGTGAAAGACCCGTATCAAAATTCAATGCCTCTGTCTTGAAGTGCAATGTGGAAAACCCCAGATGAAATGTTGTTGCACGTTGCTATGGCAGAAACAAGGCGTGAAGAAGAACATCTAATGGCGGATAGTAGATACGACCCGACATTTTTGGTGGTGAAGACGGGGTTGTAAGTGGAGAAGACCGGGGATGTGCTGACAATTCAATGGGCCCAAGTTTGTGGATGAATTCTATTCTAATCCCAAACATTTAAAACGTTCTACAATCAGTATTTAATCTTGAGCAAGAAATTTTGTGGATCAAGAAATTTTAGCCACAGTAATTCAGAAGAAAGTGCTTGGAATTGCTTGAGCAAGGAACTAACTTTGTGCAGTACAAAATTAGATAGAAGACTATTATATGTCAACCTTTATTAAGTACTCTGCCAGAGTAGTTATAGGGTATGTTTAGTTTGTTGATTCGAGTTTTTAATTCGAATTGAGATGTAATTTTATGTGAGTTTTTTATTATAGCAAAAAAGTTAAATTTCTAGAGAGTAGTTGTAATTTTGTTATCATCAGGGCTTACTAGGCATAATATGACCTTTCCAAAGAAGTTTCGTGGAAGGTTGACACAAATAAGTAATTGTCTCCATATGGAGGAATTTCTAACTTGATGACATTGCATGGATGTAATATTTTGGAGAAATTGTGGTGGTTTTACAGTTATCCACGTAAGAAATGACTAAACTTTTTTTGTTATTATTTTAAGAGAATGACCAGCTGTATAGATGATAATTTAGGATTCGTTTAATATGAGAATTCAAATCAAAGTAATTTTAATTATGATTTTGAAATCAGAATCATAATTTATGATTTTGAGTTTAAATCATGATTCTAAAACTATGATTCAAAATTATGGGTTTGAATTACCTTGAATCAAGAGGGGTTAGTTTTAGAATCATGAGTGATTCTTGTTTAAAACATCACATTAGATTCAGAATCATTCAAACTAAACATTGATTCTGAATTACTGTAAATAAACACTGATTCTGAATCAGGATTCAGAATCATAATTCTGGATCTATCTATCAAATGTCCCCATGTCAATACTTGCTTGTGAAGCAATGTTACAAAGCTGGGTGGTGTTCGCTGGACAAGTCCTCTAAGGAGACTCAACACAACGGTGACACGATCAACGAGAGAGTCTTGAGTGTGTAAGACCGTTATTGGTGTTTGTAATCTTTCAATCTTAGTGGATTATTCACTGTCTGGACGTGGCCTCGCCAATATAGGTGTGCGCACCTAGTGCTGAAACTTTGGACGGGCCGCCTGTGACTACCGAAAAATTTAAATTTTTGCCTGAGTACCGAACCCGAACTGCCCAAAAATTCGGGCTGCCCGACCCAACCTGAAAATTGCCCCATGGACGGGCTTCGGGCAGGAGATGCTTGCCTGTGCCTGGTCGGGCTACCCAATGCCCGACCGGCTGCTCGAATTTTATTTTTTTTATATTATATTTTTATATTGTATAAGTATTTGTATAATTACAATGTGTATATTACAATTTGAAATTTGAAATGAACACACAAATTATAAAAAAAAATTACTTCTTCATTGATTTTTAAATTTGTAATTCATGATTGCCTCGTTAAAAACCTTACCAAGAAAAACCCAATTAGGATAAAAACTTGGTAAGAAAAAAAGAGTGCAATCATTGTGGGACAAATTACAAATTTGACGAACTTACAAAATCTATACAAGATTACAATAAACACTATACAAATTAGAAATTACAAAGTAAATAAATGTTTACAAATTAGAATAATAAAATTTAATTTGAAGCAGAATGATCGTCTTGAAAATTAAAAGTTAATCTATTAAATTCGTCGATCCATTCTTAGTTTGTCGGTGAGATTGTATCGTGTAAGCGTTGGTCGGAACGGTCCCAATCCTTGATGCGCACCAAAGCTTTAACAATATCTTGCTGCAATGCGTTTCTCCGTTCTTCAAGTATTCGGCCGGTTGTACTGAATGCTTGTTCGGCTGCAACAGTGGAGACCGGGATTGAAAAAATATCCATTGCCAGTCGTGTTAGGATCGGCCAAGTTAATGCTCGTGCCCTCCACCACTAAGCCAAATCAAACATTTCACTACTGTCTATAACTAAGCCCTCACTCAGGTACGCCATTAACTCGTTGAATCTGCCGCACCTCTTGATGAAGATCCACTTCCACTCCTAAATTCTTCTTGACCTTGACTCGTCGTTGTCGTATTCTTCTTCTTCTTAGACAACCCGAAAACATTCAAGAATGAATGCAGATTGTCATCTCGTTGTTGTGGTTGTTCAACACGAGGTGTGTTTCTAAACCTACTTTCGTAAGAGATATATAGAGAATATATTTTTTCCTTTATAATAAGAAATTGGTCAGTAGTGTCGATAGCTAAAACTTCACATAAGTTATCTAATCCACTTTCTAAACCTTCTAATTTTAATCTAGGGTAAAAAATAACACCGAAACCATACAACATGGGTAATTTAGACCAATATTTTTTAAACTTCTTTTCTATAGAGGCGATAAGAACTCCTAAAACCTCGTGTGTCCTAAATTCACTAAATAAAATAGACATTCTTAGAAGTTCTCCTAACGCTAATGGTGAAGTTAGGTAATAAGTTCCAATAAGCTTTAAGGTAACTTCGTGAAATCTACCTACAAAGTTATACAAAAGTTCGGCATTTTGCCAATCAGTTTCATCTATAAATCATGTTTCTAATTTTGCACTAACATAATTTGTTATAGCATCTTTATAGGAGATGCATTGTTCAAGCATTATGTAAGTGGAGTTCCATCTTATGGGTATAGCTAAGGCTAATGCTCTAGGATTTTGATTACATGCTTGTAGAAATCTAAACCAATCTTGTATTATTTGATTACTACCTTGAATCCAAGCAATGTTATCTCTAATTCTTTTAATATGACCTGACATTGATTTTAAACCGGACTTTACTATTAAATTAATTATATGACATGCACAACGTTGGTAGAAAATATCATTATTACCGAATAAACTTAAATCATTTTCAAAAAGTTCTATTGCTTTAGTATTCGCAGTTGCATTACCAATGTTATGGCCATTATTCTATCTCTTAAACTATATTAATCAATAACAGATAAAATTGTGTTATATATTAAATTGGCAGTATATGATCCTATAACACATTTGAAACATAAGATTCTCTTATCCAAATCAAAACCTTTATAATAATGTCCGGTTAGAGCTAAATAATCCTTGTTGGCAATGGCGGACCAAATACCCGCCGTTAACGTAACCACTAGTATAGTGTAGAAAGTTGATTAATGCTTCATTTTCTTGTTTATATAATTTTAATGCATCTTTCCTAAGAGTAGTTCTAGAAAAAAATTGTGCATTAGGATTATGTACAATTTTAATATAACGTTGCCAATTTCTTTGTTCAGTAAAACTTAGTGGTTGATCTAATGTGGCTATTAATCGTGTCATTTCCATACGATCAACTTGCGGATCGTATTTTCACGTGCTTAGACCTCCGGTTTGGCGGTCAAACAATAATTGCGTTTGGCGGAGATCAGCTCTGCCTCCTTGCTTTTGAAGACACTTTTCAGAGTGTATTCTTAAGTGTGTAGTGCCGTGAATAGTATTACCTTGTAATTTCTCACCACAATATTTACATTGAGCTACGTATTTAATGTTACCGTTATTGTCGACCTCCTCGACTGTGTTGAAGTGCTCCCAAACTGCTGAGGTGCGCTTGCATTTCTTCTTAGAAGTTGCAACACTTACACTAGCACTACCGCTTGCCTCTCCTCCACGGCCACTTGTGCCACCACTATTACGTCCCCGATCTCTAGTACGTCCACCAGGGGTCAGATTTACAGTTTCATCAGCAACTCTTTCCATAGTTTGCGATTCCTGCGTTTGAAAAACATTAGGAAAGTGCCCTTCTTCGATGTTGAATTGGGCATCAATGGGAATATCACCACCATAACCAGAAGAAGCCATTATGAAAAATAAGAGAGATTGAGAGCGCTTTGAGAGAGTTTAAGAGAGATCGAGATTCGAGAGAGATTTAAGTGAGATTAAGAGAGATTAAGAGAGATTTGAGAGAGATTTGAGAGAGATTAAGAGAAATTGAGAGAGAATGAGAGTTTTGGGGTGAGGAAAATGGTTGGGGGGAGGGGGGTATTTATAGGAAAATTTTTGGGTTGAAAAAAAAATTTTTTCCCCTAAAAATTCGGGTCCAATGGCTACTATATTTTTGGGCAGTTCGGGCAAAATTCGGGCAGGTCGGGCAACGGTAAGAAATCTGACCGTTGTCAAATTTTCGGGCAAAATTCGGGTTCGGGCAAAAAGACCCGTTTTTTGTTCAAAATTCGGGCATTTTTCGGGCTAACGGTCAAAAAAATCGGCCATTTTTCGGGCAACGGTCACAAAAAATCGGGCAACGGTCAAAAAAATTCGGGCAGTTCGGGCAACTTCGGGTATTGCCGAAAAATTCAAAAAAATTCCGGCGAAGGGCGGGGGACGACTTCTCCACGGCGGCTGGCTGTTGGGGGGATTAATATTTTCGGGCTAACCAAGCCCGTGCCCGAAAAAAACCGTGATCGGGCGGCGAGAGGGCCCTGCCCGCCGTGCCCAAAAATTTTCGGGCACCGGGCATGCCCACCGCCCGAAGTTACAACACTGTGCGCTCCGAAGTGCGATATTAATTTTATGTGTCTCTTTTGTTTCTACATTATTATTTTCTGCATAGCCTCATTGCAAAACTATTTACTGATTGGTCACACACCAGAAGAAGCCTCCACTCTTTTCCCCGCTATTTTGTTTCCGGTGGCGGTGAACGATAAAAATATGCTTTTCGTTTTATCTCAAGAAAAGGCACTGCATATTGTTGCCTATGTTAATTTTAATTAGTCGCGTCCTCTATTTTTGGGATGTGACATAAATAGGGAGTTCAAAGTGCTACCTTAAACATTTTCTAATCCAAATGAGAGAAAACCAAAGAATTAAACACCATGCAAGTTAGTTACTTAGGTCTAAAACTGTAAAAGTTGTAAAATTATGATCATTTTACAAAATAAGAAAACCTTAAGTGAAAAGGGGTTTAGAATCTTTGTGAAAATGTTTCTTAAACCCAATAATATTTCTTGATCAACTAAAGGACTTAGATTAGAGTCTGAAACTCGGGAGACCCGTATAGGGACAAAAGTTTTCATTTAACCGTTGTATTTTTAAGACTTATTCTCTATAAATGTTGATTTTAAGGTTATATTTAAACTTAAAAAGTTTAGGTCCAAGTGAAATTGAAATTAGGCATCTAGAAGCCCAAATCAGTAAAGTTCACCAAGTGTATAAATGACTACTTTAAAATCTTAAAGATTAGAACTAAGTCTAACACTAACTTTAGAGGGCATTCTTAAGCCTAAGGAACGACTCTATTTGTCGACCTAATAAGATTAACCGTCCTTTAAGTTTAAATATAACCTTAAAATCAATTTAATGTTTTTTTCTTACAAAGGTGAAAAAAATTATTAAAATTCATTTTAAATAATTATTAAATCATGATTTACTTGATTAT